GTAATTAGAGTGTTGTCGATCTTAATGTTAATTTGTGCATCTCCTGCTCTGCTACCAAACATAATATAATAGGTTTTGTCAGTGTTAAGCCTAAGTTTATTGGCTGTCATCCAAGTCGATATTTTGATCTGCTCCTCGTTAACAATGGTGTTGAGGGTGACAAGATTAGGGTGAGAGATGACATAATTCATGTCGTCAGCAAAGAGAATGGGTTTCAGGTGTTGGGATACCTTTGGAAGATCATTGATGTATATGAGGAAGAGCAGGGGACCAAGGACACTTCCCTGCGGAACTCCAGTATCAAGTGGCCGTGTTGTTGATGCTGTGTCTTTAATAGTAACATACTGATACCTATTAGTAAGGTAAGATTTGAAATAAGCAAGCGCATGGCCTCTTATACCGTAATGGTCAAGTTTGTGGAGTAGGATGTCGTGGTCTACTGTGTCAAAAGCTTTTCTTAGGTCAATAAAAATTCCTAGTGGATATTCCTTATTTTCTAATGCTGTGTAAAGCAGATCTAGCATTTTTATGATTGCATCATTAGTGCTTTTATTTTTCCTAAATCCAAATTGGCAGGGGTTGAGTATGTTTTGTGGCTGTTATAAATGAATATAGTCTCCTGTGCACGAGTTTCTCAAAGATTTTGGATAGCAATGGTAAGTTTGATATTGGCCTATAGTTGTTTAAGTCTGTAGGGTCACCACCTTTATGTATTGGTGTAACCCTTGCCATCTTGAGTAGTTTCGGGAAGGTGCTAGTTTCTAGTGACTTGTTAAAAAGTAATGAAATAGCATGCGAAAGGATATGGGCCGCTCGCTTGTACAGTAATGGTGGGACATTAGACAGATTCCCTGAGTTGTTTTTAAGTGACTTTATAATCTCGGTGACTTCCGAGGGCTCCGTTGGTGCAAGATAGAAGGAATTTGGGAAATTCCCATCTAGGTAGTCCCCGGCATGGGCATTAGTATGTGGGATTTTATTGGCGAGATTAGATCCTATGGTTGAGAAGAAGTTGTTTATCTTGTTAGCTGTGTCAGTGGGATGTAGTGGTGTTTCATTAGGTTTAGTTAGGACAATATTCTTGTTTTTTTTAAGTTTGTGGATCCCTAGAATCTGAGAGAGTGTTTTCCAGGTCTTTTTTATATCTCCTCTAGTGTCTGTGAATCTACTGGAGTAGTATAGTTGTTTGGCTTTCTTTATTACTTTGGTGAGAACTGATGAATAGTGTTTAAGAATATCTTTGTGTATTAAGCCCTGTCTATATTGCTTTTCATATTGGTGTTTCTTGTCAATGGATTTCAGAATGGTGCTGGTTAGCCATGGGCAACCAAGCCGTTTGTTTGTGATCTGTTTCATTTTTATAGGACAATGTTTGTTGTATAGTCTAAGTAATTTGTTAAGAAAAATGTCTGTCCAGTCATCAATACCATTGGCCTTGGAGAATTCTGTAGGCCAGTCAACAATCTCTAGGTCAGTTGTGAACTTCCTTATTGAGGCCTCGTCATGGAGTCTAAATGAGACTTTGTTGTACTCAAGTGGTGGTTTATTAATGTTTGTCAGGAGGAAGGTAGGGTAGTGGTCTGTAGTGCTATCTGTGATTATCCCTGATTTAAGGGGGGCTAGTATATTGGTCCATATGTGGTCTATTATGGTTGCACTTGTCTCGGTTCTGTCAATCTGTCTGTCTGTCTATCTATCTGTCTGTCTATCTTTGCCTGGAATTTCTGGATTATTCTAGGTAATTTACACTATATATAATAACTGTACTTATGTGTACATGTGAGACAGAGATATAGATAGATATAGATAGATAGAGATATAGACAGAGAGACAGCCAAAGCAAGCCAGCTGGCCAGCCTGCCAAATACATAAGAACATAAGAAAGAAGGAACACTGCAGCAGGCCTACTGGCCCATGCAAGGCAGGTACATGTCACACTCCCCCCCCCCTGGCTTAGACAAATGACCCACCTAGTCATGTCACACCCATTGACTAGCACAAGCTAGTCAGGTCCAACTCACACCCACCCACACTCACTCATGTATTTATCTAACCTATTTTTACTTTCCTCTTAAAATGGGAGCGTTAATGCTACATGGCATCTGTGAATCCCTGGTGTTTGCCATGCTATATGCTGTAGCTGGTGCTCAATTGAACTGGTGCTCCCACAAGGTATTAAGTCCCCCCCAGATTTTTTTAATAGTGCACACACTGAGTGTACAGACCCATTCTTTCATGTCTAGGCAACTCAAGCCTATTGTGCCAAATTTGAAGGAATGAAAAATAAAATGTTGATGTACGTTTGGAGCGCTACACGTGCAAACGTAGATCTACGTTTGGACAGTTTAAGGGTTAAAACACTGAAGACAAGACACCACAAGCATAGCTCCGCTCCATTGACTACAAATTCAAATCACAAAGAGGTAATGATTTTTCACACGCAGTTGAATTCTATAAGGATCAGTACGTACTAGCTCACTGATTTTTCTAATAAAGCACTTACCAGAAGGGCTGAAAACATTTCTGAATATGTCTGTCAATGCAGAAATAAAGTGCAAAGTATTTCTGTACACGTACTGCAATAGCACAGTGGACCCCTGCCTAATACATTAAATCCGCCATACAAAGCATTTGAACGCAAAAATTCTGCCTCGCCCCACGATAAAAAAACTTGCCTTACGTGATTCGTCCAGGACGCGTCCCACGTGTGGCCTCAGCTGCCCCGTGGGGCAGAAAGAGATAATTGCTAAGTACGAAAGTGGAGTGCGTGTCTTGGAGCTGGCCAGGTTGTATACCAAACCCTAATCAACCATCGCTACTATCTTGGCCAACAAAACAGCAATCAAGGAAGCTGTTCTTGCAAAAGGTGCAAGTTTGTTTTCGAAACAGAGATCACAAGTGATAGAAGATGTCGAGAGACTGTTATTGGTGTGGATAAACGAAAAACAGATAGCGATCATATGTGAAAAGGCTAAGAAGTTGCAAGACGATTTAATTAGAAAAATGCCTGCAACTAGTGGTGATGTGAGTGAATTTAAGGCCAGCAAAGGTTGGTTTGAGAGATTTAAGAATTGTAATGACATAAATAGTGTGATAAGGCATGGTGAGGCTGCCAGTTCGGACCAAAAAGCGGCTGAAAAATATATGAAGGAATTCAAGGAGTACATAGACAGTGAAGAATTGAAACCTAAACAAGTGTTTAATTGTGACAAAACAGGCCTGTTTTGGAAGAAAATACCAAGCAGGACCTACATTACTCAGGAGGAAAAGGCACTCCCAGGACATAAGCCTATGAAAGACAGGCTTACTCTTTTGATGTGTGCTAATGCTAGTGGTGATTGCAAAGTGAAGCCTTTATTGGTGTAACACTCTGAAACTCCCAGAGCGTTCAGGAAAAACAATGTCCTCAAGGCTAATTTGTGTGTGCTGTGGAGGGCAAACAGTAAGGCATGGGTCACTAGGGACTTTTTCTATGACTGGTTACACCATGCATTTGCCCTCACTGTGAAAAATTACCTAATGGAAAATAAATTAGACCTTAGGAGTATTGTCTAATACCTCCTGGTATTAGACAATGCTCCTGGTCATCCTTCAGACTTGGCAGAGCGACTTTCTGGGGACATGAGCTTCATTAAAGTCAAGTTTTTGCCTCCTAATACCACTCCTCTCCTGCAGACCATGGACCAGCGGGTCATTTCAAACTTCAAAAAACTCTACACAAAAGCTATATTTCAAAAGTGCTTTGAAGTGACCTCAGACACTCGATTGACTCTAAGAGAGTTTTGGAAAGATCACATTAGTATCCTCAGTTGTGTAAACCTTATAGGTAAGGCTTGGGAGGGAGTAACTAAAAGGACCTTGAACTCTGCTTGGAAAAAACTGTGGCCACAATGTGTAGAGGAAAGGGATTTTGAAGGGTTTGGGGCTAACCCTGAGAAGCGTATGCCAGTTGTGGAATCCATTGTGGCATTGGGGAAGTCCTTGGGATTGGAGGTTAGTGGGGAGGATGTGGAAGAGTTAGTGGAGGAGGACAATGAAGAACTAACCACTGATGAGCTGCAAGATCATCTTCAACAGCAAGAGGCCAGACCTGAAGAAACTGCTTCAGAGGAGGGGAGAGAGAAATTGAGGAAGTTGCCTACTTCAAAGATTAAGGAAATGTGTGCAAAGTGGGTTGAACTGCAAACCTTTAAGGATGAAAATCACCCTGACACAGCTACTGCAAGCAGTGTTGGCAACCTGTACAATGACAATGTTATGGCCCATTTTAGGAAAGTCTTAAAGTTTTTCTTTTTCGGGCCACCCTGCCTTGGTGGGAATCGGCCAGTGTGATAATAAAAAATAATAAATTAAAGGAACGGGAGGTACAGAGCTCTATGGACAGATCTGTTGTGTGACAGAGGTCCAGTGACTCTCAAGCTGGTCCTAGTGGCATTAAAAGAAGAAGGGAACTAACCCCAGAAAAGGACTGCTACCTCAAGTCCTAATGGAAAGGGATTCCCCTTCTAAACAGTAACTTCCAAAACTCTCCCCTCCTCCCATCCCATCAATCATCACCAGATCTTCAATAAAGGTAAGTGTCATGTATTCTTTCTTAGTAGAGTAGTAATTGTGCATGTCTTCTTCAGTTTGTGTGTATTAAAATTAATATTTCATGTGGTAAATTTTTTTTTTTTCATACATTGGGGTGTCAGGAATGGATTAATTTGATTTCCATTATTTCTCATGGGGAAAATTAATTCGGCTAACGATAATATCGGCTTACGATGAGCTCTCAGGAAAGGATTAATATCGTAAGGCGGGGGTCCACTGTATACTGCTAGAACAGATTATAAAATAACATGATTAACTGAAATGACTGAAAATAGCAAGAATAACTCTATTTCTGTAGCTGCTTATAGTTACTGTAAGGCAACATTACATACACTACCCAAGTGAGAAATGTTTTTAAAGAAAGCGAGAGGATCTACTATAACAGTTTACAAAACAGTATGGCTAACCTGTAAATGTTGTACAGGAAACACCAGTGTGTGGTCATACTGTGATAGTTGTGGAAAATTAGCTCCAAAACTTGATCCATATTTTTGGAAGAAATACATCTTTGGGTCATATGGTACAGACTGTTGAGACTGCAACGAAGGCCGCTTCCCAGGACCTCCAGGCATACGTAACCTGCAAATTTATTTAACAATTGTTTAGCATGAACACCAGATGGCTCAGTTACTAACTTTAACTCTTAAGGAACAAATGTAACAATAAAATAACACATAGTATTTGGGAGTTGACATATCAGCGGATGGATTTATGAAGGATGAGGTTAATCATAGAACTAATGAAGGAAAAAAGGTGAGTGGTGCATTGAGGTATATGTGGAGGCAAAAAATGTTATCTATGGAGGCAAAGAAGGGAATGTATGAAAGTATAGTAGTACTAACACTCTTATATGGGTGTGAAGCTTGGGTTGTAAATGCTGCAGCGATTGGAGACAGTGGAGATGTCCTGTCTAAGGGCAATGTGTGGTGTAAATATTATGCAGAAAATTTGAAGTGTGGAAATTAGGAGAAGGTGTGGAGTTAATAAAAGTATTAGTCAGAGGGCTGAAGAGGGATTGTTGAGGTGGTTTGGTCATTTAGAGAGAATGGACCAAAGTAGAATGACATGGAGAGCGTATAAATCTGTAGGGGAAGGAAGGCGGGGTAGGGGTCGTCCTCGAAAAGGTTGGAGGGAGGGGGAAAAGGAGGTTTTGTGGGCAAGGGGCTTGGACTTCCAGCAAGCGTGCGTGAGCATGTTAGATAGGAGTGAATGGAGACGAATGGTATTTGGGACCTGACGAGCTGTTGGAGTGTGAGCAGGGTAATATTTTGTGAAGGAATTCAGGGAAACCGGTTATTTTATATAGCCGGACTTGAGTCCTGGAAATGTGAAGTACAATGCCTGCACTCTAAAGGAGGGGTTTAGGATATTGACAGTTTGGAGGGATATGTTGTGTATTTTTATACGTATATACTTTTAACTGTTGTATTCTGAACACCTCTGCAAAAACAGTGATTATGTGTGAGTGAGGTGAAAGTGTTGAATGATGATGAAAGTATTTTCTTTTTGGGGATTTTCTTTCTTTTTGGGTCACCCTGCCTCGGTGGGAGATGGCTGACTTGTTGAAAAAAAAAAAATACACTAAAACTGCCACTTTATTTTTTGTAATACTGTACACTATTACTGGCAGTGCCAAGCATTATTAAGATGTAAAACAAGCACAATATACCATACCAAAGTTCCTTTTCTAATATAGGTGACCCCAACTTACAACCACATGATTTATGCCTACCTGCATCTATGACCATCTACTTCCTAGAAAGATAGCCCATAAAAGGCTACAATTTTAAGGTATGCATTTGGTTCCCAGGAACCTTTAACTCACCACAGCCCAAATGACATCTGCTTTCACAAAACCAATTACAGTAAACCCTCAATATGATGGATCTCAATGTAAAGGACTTCTAAAATTACGGGCAGAATGCACTGATTAAACTGTACTTTTAACTCATTTATTTTCAGTGCTTATTACAGTATTTCTGTAAATTGTGTGTACATTACCATATTAGGTATACAGTAGAGTACTTTAGTGCTATTTCTTGCTATTTTTTAGCATTATTCCAATTAAATAGGTACTCAGAGAATCCCTCCTATTAGTCCATTATACTGGGGGTTTACTGTAAGTCATAAATGCAAGGGTTGCCTGCATTTATGACATACAGTAAATTGTATATTGTTATTATTTAACCCTTATCCCTTTGACTGTTTCGGTTGTATATATACATCTTACGAGCCAGTGTTCTAAACCCTTAAACTGTCCAAACGTAGATCTACGTTTTCACACGAAGCACTCCGACCTTGATTTTCCCCATAAGAATGTAAAAAAAAAACGTAGATCTATGTTCGGAGCACTACGCAAACAAACGTAGATCTACGTTTGGACAGTTTAAGGGTTAACGTATTAATACTCCAAAATTCTAGCAGCTTCAAATCAAGCAGGAGAGACCTGGTAGGCCCACATGTGACAGAATGGGTCTGTGTGGTCAATGTGCGCAGTATAAAAAAAAACTTGCAGCACGCATTGCATAATGAGAAAAAAACCTCAGACCGTGTTTTTGGATTAAAACCCCGACTTTGAGGTGTATTTTCATATAGTAATCATGGTTGTATTCTCATTTTTTTTTGTCTCATTTGATAGACTGGAAGATATATTACAGAAATAGAGATAATTCTGATTGGTTTCACGATGAAAAGGACCTTGAAATTGAGCTCAAACTAGCAGAAATGTTTAATTTTTGCCGATGTTCAAGAGTAAACAAATGACGTCTTTGTCCAATAAATGTCCAACTGGCCATTCTAATATGCAGTCATGAATGGGTTGACATTATTTATACAATTATTACAATAATGCAGTAGTCTGCATAACAGTAAATCTTCTAATTTTTGTGTGAATAAAAATTTAAAATAGAAAGCAGGAGTAATATAAGAGGGGCCTGGAGACATGACTGATGAACAGAAATTTTTTTATTTTAGTGCCAGGAATGTCTGCATTGTTTATTCTAGACCCTATTTTGAAATTGGCATCTTTTTTAATTTGTGTGAAATTGGCCAAATTGCCAATTTTTGACCACTTTATTGGGTATTTGAAATCGATAAATGGGCAGTTTCTTGTACTCAATTGATAGAACAAATAGAGTTATAAAGAAATAACTATGAGTTTGGTTGACTAGAACAATGCAATTGTCAGAAAATAGGGCTCAAAGTGGGTGAAGTTGCTGATGCATGAACATCGTCGAGATTGCTAATTGAGTAATTCCGTAAGTTTTTCAACAAATTTCGTATTTTTGGTGTCATTAACATCGGGAAAAGATTCTCTATCATTTCATAAGAATTTTTTTTTTTTAATTTTGCGACACAGAAACACTTTAGGATTTGGTATAACGAAGGGATTATTTGGTGTTCTGGTAGCGGGGAGTAAATGATACGTCTTCGGAGGCTTCTTAGTTTATTGTTAAGTCGTAGTGGGTACACAGGCTTGTGTGTTTGCCCATGGCCCGGGCAGGGCCATCCCACGAGAGAGAGCTACTAGTACTTGTGTCTTCCTGCTAGGCCGCTGTGTGAGTGAGAGAGAGGCAAGTCTGGGCATACTGAAGTGGCAAGGCCTATAGGTGGCAGCACCAGCATGGTGCAAAATATGAACTAAGCTGGCAGACAGCATGGGCTGTCTGTGCAGAGAGTACAGGCTGTCTACATATGCTCGGCCACCTACCGCTCATCGTCCCGACGCGACAATACTGGTGGTAAAAGAAACTCGGTCTCTCTCTCGTAGGAACAGGGCACAGAACACAAAATAAAACCATATATATACATATGGACATGGAAAAAAAACTTCCTACAGGGAGGGAAGAAAAAAACATGGGGGGTGTGCTAAACATCGTGGTCATAGGCAGTGAGCATCGAAGGGCATCACTGCACGCCTTCCTGCGTCTGGACAGATACTGCAGCACAGGAGACATCGCTGCGGCTGACGTCAGCAGCACTGTGACATCAGCAGACATCTCGAGGTGACGTCAGGCAGACATCGTGACGTCATGAAGTCGGGCAGCATCGTCCGTGACGTCAATGTGATGCGGGCAGCAGACCACAGCATGTGGCCTGGGACATCTGGCTCGGTAACTCACGTGGCATGGTAGATCCACGTGACATCGCCCACACCCACGTGGCGTCGGGATCCACGTGGCATCGTGATCTACGTGGCATGCTGATCCACGTAGCTTCGAGTGGCCTCGGGCACTCGGATACACAGTTCTGGCAATGAATCACACGAAAAACAGCAGAAAACACAGCAGAGGGAGTGAGCAGTGGTGAGTGGTGTATGGTAGTGTGGTGGCGAGGAGCGTGGATGAGTGTATGGCGAGGGAGCATCTGGCCATTCCTCCTCCCACCCACAAACACAGGGAAACACACTGGACGCAGAAATCACCACGAAACTCACCTCTGGCTTGCTGAAACAGCTGTACTGAGCTGAACAACAACAGCAGCAACATACAAGTGACGCTGAACACGTGACTTGGGAAACAGTGTGGGATGCTGTAGCATGGGGTCACTGTGACGCCACTTACAATTCTCGAAGAAATTCGGTAAATTTCAGCCTGGATCCTGCTTGTACCTGTGTCCGGATGCTCAAACGTGCAGACACGACATCAGGATAACTCGTTGAGAGACGGATGCTTCTTGCATGGGATGATGAAGTGAAGATGACTTCATTCCTTCCTTCCTCTCTCTGGGCAAACAACTGCTGCGACCACCGCTTTCCACCACTTATAACGAAGGGATTATTTGGTGTTCTGGATGCGGGGAGTAAATGATACGTCTTCAGAGGCTTCTTAGTTTATTGTTAAGTCATAGTGGGTACACAGGCTTGTGTGTTTGCCCATGGCCCGGGCAGGGCCATCCCACGAGAGGAGAGCTACTAGTACTTGTGTCTTCCTGCTAGGCCGCTGTGTGAGTGAGAGAGAGGCAAGTCTGGGCATACTGAAGTGGCAAGGCCTATAGGTGGCAGCACCAGCATGGCACGAAATATGAACTAAGCTGGCAGACAGCATGGGCTGTCTGTGCAGACAGTACAGGCTGTCTACATTGGGGTTGCAACAGTGAAAGGGTTAAACAGCCACACATGCTGATCAGTATGTGTACATATACTGCAACACATGGAGATCAACATTTAAATTCTAGTTCTCTCATAATGACCACGATCGGAAATGTTGGGCCTACATGGAATAAAGTAGGTCTGCATTGTTGCAGTGTGCACAAACAAAAAGTTCCTCAGCCACACTGGGCACTGTGGGAAGTCTGCCTCAAAGTACCATACCAACATGTCTCATCTTTGATATCCCCTCACTCCACAGGCTATTGGCCATTTGCTATTTGCCCAGGCTGATTCCAGTACTAAAAATACGAAGATACATAGAGTGCTACTGCTACTACAGATGCCCAATCAAGCAAGGAAAATCCCAATGAGCTTTGAAGAACTACATAACACAACTTCCTTCTACTGAGGAGAAATATGCCCAGAAGATGTGTTATGCATGTCTTAACACCACCAGAAAATCAGGGAAATGCAAGGACACATGATTCAT